TTAGGATGAGTTCTTCTATACTTGAATGTTATCTCCTTGGGAGCGCTCATGCCTCTTGTCTTTGCATCCCTTCTGGAAGGGTCTTCGTTCCTCTGCAGGTATCTATCCTTCCATACCTGGAGGTCTTCTTCGTTGCTTCGATCTGTTGTCTTTGGTGCATCACCTTCCTGGCCGGCATCTTTTACTCCGTGACTCTGGTCACGAGTTTCTGTGTTGCGGTCGTCCCCTTCAACGTCGAGATCGATAGGTCTCCCACTCCCAGCAGGAGCGTTGTCTCTAATCTGATCCTTTTGTCCGTCATTGGCCATCTATTCTTCTTTCTTTCCCACAGACGGCGCCAAATTGTGTTGGTGGTTTTCCGACCACACTGCCCGCTTAGTAACCAGCTGGAGAGCATTGGCAGAATAGATGGCACCTGACTGACCTGCAACAGAAATATAAGAATCCCACGGTGGTTTCGACCACCCAGGGGCACTCCGACGATCAAGTCATTATATCTCTCAAAGATAAATCAAGTACTAAACTCACAAGCTTGAGTATCAAAAGCATACCTTAGACCTATGGGGGTGCCTCTCTTTTATAGCCAATACAATCCTAGTCCTAATAGGAGCCTGACCCTAATGGACTTAGGATTACTGCTAATCTAGGACTCCCAGTGGGATTAGGATAAACTCTCTAAGAGTCTTATCTTTACCCAAACTGAAGTCTTCTCCCAATCTAGGACTCTTGTCCATATCCAAGTTGAGTTCCCTCTTCATTCTAGGACTCTTGTCCCTTATCCGCTTATCTCGGATTCCGATATCTTCAGAGGCAACCTCGGCCTAGCCGAGATGACCTCGGCACAACGACCAAGACACGTGGCACCTCGGCTGACACGTCGGCGTCACCTTGCCACGTGTTGGTACTCAGAAAATATATCCCCACATTGTGTATCAAAGTTTGTTGGTCTCAACAATTCTATGAAGATAAAAATCGATTACAGAGCCACACGTAACATATATCCATTTATATATATTTTGTATTTGATTTCTGTATTCGTGACATTCAATACAAGAGGCCACTCCCTAACAACGAAAGAGACAAACCACCCCTTGTGGTAGTTATTATCTGTTTGACAGCCTTTATTGGGTGGTGATTGAAGGACCAACATGACTGGCAGGCCGTTAAGTTTGGTATTAAATGTCAAAAGAACAATTGAGTTTTCAAATTGTTTTTCTTGTTTTCATTGCCAGTTACATTGATAAGAAACACAGTATTCTTTTTATAGATCAAAACTACTGTTTTCATTTCTGGGACTCCTGGGACTCTTCTTTTTGTCATTCCTTGAAAGAGAAAACAAAGGAAGTTTCAAATAAATCTGGAATTGGAAAGCTTCAATGTCGATAGTACCGATGAACAGACCTATTGGTTTCTTCAAGATTTCAAGCTATGGGATGAGAAATTGTCACAAACACACTTGTACCTCCTTGACAGCGTGAGTTCAATTTTAGCACGTTCCTTGAATCAAATTATACTCATAAGCATCAACAAAATTTGAAGCATTCCTTGCTGAAACTGTATGATTTTCTTTTCTTTTCTTTTCTTTTCCCTTTATTTCTCTGACCAAATCTAAATGTGGGTAGAGTTTTCTGTGGTTGTTTATGAGGTCATAGAATCCAAAATCGGTGCATGAGTTGAGCTTTTTTTAATTTTCTCAACCAACGGGGCATTGAATTCTAGACCTGCACAATCACAGACAAGCAAGAAAGAAGAATTCTCAGTAGAAAATCAGAAACTCTCCATTCCACAATCTAAAACAAGTCCTTTGAATCTCCATTTCAACCGGCTGCAGCCATTCGATCAAGAAATTATTCAGGAGGATAGAATTGAGTTTGGACAGTTCGTGGCACGTGAGGCCTTACTAGACGAAGAATTTTGGGTCAGTATCTTATTATTCTATATATAACCTAAAATTCAAAGCATGAACTTCTTATAATATGGTTGCTTTTTATGTAATCTCGTGCCAGTTTGAGGTGGTAGTTGTGTTTTTGTTTTTTTGGTAGACAGTAGCATGGCTGCGAGCAGAAAGTCATTGGGAGGATAAGACAAATGAACGGTATGAATTAAATATCAAAATCAAAACCTCTGAAGCACATAGTTAAATTTCTCAAAACAAATCTACATGTGGAAGATTGAACTTGCCATTGTTATATGAAAACAGATAAATGAGCCGATTAATAGAACAAAGAGACCGGTTGGAGTGTTTGTTTCAATCTTGTTTGTTAACTCATGGCGATAATATGCCATTCCACTGACTTCTAGCTCTACTTAACAATACAGATATGTTGATAACTACAAAAGGAAATTTGCAGAGCAGGTAGGGCTAAACTGGCATAATCTGTTTATCAATATAAAAAATAAAAAAAAAAACACGACTGGAATATATGTTGTGCATAAAAATCTTTACCCCATTTTCTGTGTAGGAGTTTACGGCATTGAAAAGGTGATGCAAAAAGCAACAGAAGCATAAATGTACCTGCATTGTGACGGTATGATTTTCTTTTCACAAATCATCTTTCGGGCACCAATTTTTATCTTCTATCTTTTTATAGTTTCTTTGGGTTAGGATTAACATCAAGTTTAATCATTTTTGAAAGAGTTCATTGATCTCTTGGTTGGGCTAATGATAAAATTTTATGTTTATTATCAAAGAAGCTCCTCATACAGGGTCATTCAAATTAATAGGTAAAGAAGGAAGACAAGAATGTGAAATGTACCATACTGAAGAGTGTAGTTGGAACCCTAGATTTGAGCATCCGATACTTGTTGCCTGGGGAGACCTTTCCTGGGGTAAACTCTCATCTAATTAATGAATCTGCATCCAACCCTCAATGCTTTTGTTGCCTCAACTTCGAATTTTGTCCTCTCACAGGAAAGGGTGAAAGCCCCTCTCTTTTGAGGCATTGACAAGACAGGCCAAAACAGATGCTCTTACATTGCAAACCTGTGTGTTTCCAAATCTGCTCGCCGCCAGGGTATTGCAACAAACATGTTGTATTTTGCTGTTAAGTTAGCTAAATCCAATGGTAAGACGATAACCTGCATCGGTTCTTCGGATTTTGAACAAAAGCAAACATGATTTACTTTAAACCATGGCAGGTGCAGAGCAGGTATTTGTGCACGTGCATAGAAAAAACCGACCTGCACGAGAACTTTACCAAAAGATGGGTTTCGAGGTATTCCAATGGTAGTTAAAAGCTGTTTTTCTGGCTTCTGTTTTTAACCATGAAGAGCTTATGCAACTTTTACACTCTCTGTGATTAGGTGGTCGAAATGGCAACCCCTCAATTATCAAAAGAGCAAACTTTCTTGCTTTGCTTTGAATTATAAAACCTTATTTGGCAGAAGTTTACCTCCATTGATTGTATGAAAAAGGAATACATTGTCCAAGTGGCCACAACAGCTCACCCCATATTAGGGATGATGAAAATAAAATTTACCACTGCATATAGTTGTTTTCAAATTCAGCAACTGAATCATTCAGCTTACAGGAAATTCTTACACTCCAAAAAATTGACTAATACGATTTTGGGGGAAATACTCAAGTAAAGCAGATACTAAAGATACAAAATACAGTTCCTTAAAAAAATGACTTTTCCGTTAGTATTTATGGCAGGTCTTGTTGTTCGTGATGCAAATAACTAATTGCAAGGCAACTTATGCGTAACAAGTGACCTGATCATCAACATAATCATTAAGAATTGCAACAGATTTATTTCTTCAAGTTTCCGGAAGATGGCTCAGGGATTAAAAAAAAAAAAAAAAACTCTGGATTCTGGATGTGTAAGAAATCATGATACTTAAAATGAAAAGAATACCACGAGGGAACTTTCATTTTTACATGTCTCAATGAAAAGAAAGCTGTCACCCTCTAAAAAAAAAATGAAAAGAAAGCTGTATTAGCTTTAGAGATTATCTCAGGTAGTTTATTGACTTCAATAACATTCTGTGAGGATAGATATCATATCACTTTTACATCAATGTGATATTCGGTAACGACAGAGAAAACATTATTCCAACTGAAAATTTCCAATGTTGTGCTGTAACAAAGGCACAAAACTTAAATATATGACTAACAAATAAATAAATAAATATTTAGTTTTCGACAAACCAACTGGCTATTACCACTTTAAGGATATTGCCACCAGCCATGCAAATTTTGTCCCTTAAAATAAATCCTTTGGACTCCCAACTTTACCATTAGGATAGTGTTCATAGGTTAATCAATCCACTCAGCTAGCTCAATCTTTCGGAGGTACATTTTGCCAAATGCTAGTCATTGCTTACAAGAAACTAGTATCCATTTTGCATCCTATATTATACATGTTGGCCACAGTACTTGAGATGAATGTGATATACTTGAATATAACACTTTAGAAAGGCCGTGATTTTGAACCTGATAAAAATGTATGAAACCTCTGGTTTACCTCCACCAAACTATGGCCTGGAATCTTTTTCAACTCTCTTTCTTCCATCAACTTCCTCAATCTTGCTACGTCTTCCCACCTTCCAGCCTCAGCATAGATATTTGTCATAAGGACATAAAAACTAACAGTTTGAGGCTCCAACTGATGCAATCGGTCAGCAACAAGCTCTGCTAGCTCAAGATTCCCATGGATTCTACAAGCACCAAGCAAAGCTCCCCAAACACCAATATCTGGTCCACTTGGCATGTTCTCGATAAACTCATAAGCCTCCACCAATTGGCCAGCTCTACCTAGAAGATCCACCATACAAGCACAGTGCTCTACAGCAGGCCCGATTAAGTAATCTTTTGTCATGCTCTCAAAATGCTTCTTCCCTTCTTCTACCAAACCTGAATGCCTACAAGCTGTTAAAACAGAAATGAAGGTGAAGCTATTTGGCCTAATTCCTTCCTCTTTCATCTTTGTGAAAAGCTTCAAAGCATCGTCCCCATGCCCATGAGATGCACAGGCCCCTATAATTGAAGTCCAGGACACAACACTTTTATGTGGCAACTTGTTGAAAGCATCCCTTGCCAAATCTATGTTTCCACATTTTGCATACATGTCAATTAAAGCATTAGTAATCGAAACATTAGTTTCAAGACCTTTGTTCCTCACAAGCTTATGTATCCATTTCCCAGTATTGAGTGCTCCCAAATTAGCACAAGCTGATATAACACTAACCATTGTGATATAATCAAATTCCACATTTTCAATTAGCATTCTATGGAAGAGCTTAATTGCAAACCGATCAGCATTAGTCTGTCCATAAGCAGCAATCATGGCATTCCACGAGACCAGGCTTCGGACTGGCATCTGATCAAACAAAGATCTGGCAGTATCAACAATTCCACACTTACCATAAAGAGTGATTAAAGTGTTAATCAGTGAAATATCAGAGTCCACCCCCAATTTAACAGCACAACCATGAGCCAATTTCCCCAAGTTCAAAAACTCCAAACCAGCACAGGCGGGAAGAATGCTCACGAGTGTAATTGCATTCGGTTGAGTCCCCAAAGCTACCATCTCACGAAAAACACCCAACCCTTTTTCAAAAAATCCATTTTGCACATATCCTGCAATCAATGCAGTCCAAGAAACTATGTTTCTCACAACCATCTCACCAAAAACTAGTTCCGAATTGAAAATCTCCCCACTCTGCGAGTACATTGTAATTAATGAACTCCGTACAAATACATCCAAATCAAGTCCATTCTTAATTATGTTACAATGCACTTCTCTCCCTTCCATCAAAGCTGAGAGGACAGCACAAGATCGAACCACGGAAGGAAAAGTATAGCTGTCAGGTAATAATCCAATCCGATGCATGTCTCTATAGAGAACTATGGCTTCTTGGCAAGGACCCAGATCGGCATAACCTCGAATCATGGTGTTCCAGAGAAATAAATCCCTTTCAGGCATTAAATCAAACAGTTTGCGGGCATAGTCCATTGTTGGGGCCACCGAACGAGCTAAGGTGATGAGTTTGGTGGATAAGAGGAGGTTTTTGTGGGACCCATTTGTGAGGATGAGAGCATGGATTCGTTTGAGGTCTGAAAGAGAGGAACAAGAATTCAAAAGGTTGTTAACAGGGAGGGAGTGGTAGTTAGTATGGAAGTGAGATGGGACATACAAAATGGGTTCAAGTATTTTAAGAACTGTGAGGAAGGAGGTGGCTAACATCAACTTCACATCCCTTTGATAACAGAGCAATTGTGTTTTTGGGATATCACGTAGGGTGCCTAAATGTTCTTTTCCCTATTGGCAGAATGGCTTTGAGTCATTAGCATTAGTTCAAAAAAGATCCACTTTAGTTGGGGTTCTATCCACAACCAAAATAACCATACCAAAAAAAATTAGGTTAATGCTAAAGAGTCACAAATTTGACCAATAGTTATTTATAATGTGTGGTAAAAATTTTGGGCTCTCAATCATTGGATATGTAATAAATTAAAATTGACACTTATCTTGACATATAAAATTGTGACAGTTTTTTTAGGTCTCAATAATAATAATAATAATAATAAATAAAATAAAAGTGCCAAGTTTCATAATCATCTCTCTTTCTCTCCTCCACAATAAACTTTAGGGTAAATTAGATTCAACTTTCTTTGAGTTTCTTTGGGTTTGGAGAAAATAAAGTAAATTTCATAATTTTTACATAATTATATTAAGTTCCTTTGCAATTTTAATTAATAAAACATTTAGTTTCATTCTCATCAATAATTTGTCAGTTATACGAATTAAAAAAATGATATTGTCATCTTTTATACAAAAATATTTATTTTACATTGTATAATTTTGTGTTTTTACACTATCTACGTTAGTTTCATTCCATTTAATTTTATTAAAAGGAAAATTAGTTACTACATGTGTTTTGTTTTTTTTAAACCTCAAGAAAAGTTAATGTAATTCACCTTAAATTTTAAGTTGTCTTTTTTCCAAGTTTAAATTTGCATTTGAGAGAATTTTTAGGGTCTGTGGAGCTCACCATGAATCCTATTTAGATTATTTGAATGTTTATTTTGTAAAGTTCTCGATGTATATCATCTATAAAAATTAAAAAAAAAATTAAGTCAATTTAATAATCGTAATATTTTCATTTTTGAAAATAAAACATTTATTTTTTGAAAATAAATACGATAAAATGAAATGATTACAATTATTGGATTGATCAATTTTTTTTTTTAATGAATCATGCAATTTTTACTTCCATTATTTTCTCTTATCAATTGTAAAAAGAAAAAAGAAAGAAAGAAAGAAAGAGAGGATTTTACTTTTCTACCATGTAATTTATTTCACTTACAATTCACTCTATTGAAAGTAAGCCCATAACCCTGTGTTTAATTTAATTTTAGTATAATTAGATTTGGAATTATTTGCAAAATTTTGTACTAGAGACTACCCTTGATTTAAATTCAAGTAAATTATGACGCGGGCTAATAATTAGATTCGTGTAAAGAATAAAATAGATTAGATTTTTTTGTGTGTAATTAATATGCTAAACTACGTAAGGCCGTGTGGTATCTTGAGAGGTGGACATTTCAAACTCATGTTGGGATCAGATTTTCATATCGAAAAAAAGAAAAAAGAAAAAAAAGAAAAGAAAGTAAACTTACACAACGTAAATTGTAGATACAAAATCTGGTCAAAATTAGTGTTGGATGCCATCTTTTTAATACAAAATTGTCTTACTGCAATGATCAATGGAAACATTTCGAATGTTTGCCTGGTGAACCAAACAAATGACTGTACTATTAGACACTCAGAATAATGATACTAAGAGAGAGACAATTGAATGAATAACTATGCCCGAAAAGGGATGATTTTATAGAATTTCTCATACCTATTCGAAGCAATCATGAAGCTAAAATTGTTGGAACAATCTTCTGTGTAAATAAAATAACTCGAAATAAATTCAAACAAAATAAATAAATAACATACCAGATTTATTTATTGAACCAAATTAAAATTAAGACCAAGTCGAGTGTGTGACGCTCTGTCCTTAAGACAGATTCGCCCCCGCTACGGTACTTACGGTTGAATGGCGTCTATCTCCCAGGATACAATGATCTTCACAAATTTATAGAAGCACTTCAAATAAATTTGTTCGGCGAACCAAACCTGTGATCTATACTCTCTTTAATTTATTCTAAAACTAAATACGAAGAATAAAGGACGCAAGAGAGCAAAATGAAGGCAAGGAAAATGAAATTTTGGAATCCCACAAAATTGGAATGGGGCTGCCTTTATATAGGCTTTGTTGGCACCTATTCAATTTGAATAGAAAAGGTATGAAGAAGGGACATACCCCTTTCTTTAAAATAAAGGGACACCATGAAAGGTTTGCACCCTTTCATTCAAAACAAAAAGACACCATGAAAGGTTACACCCTTTCATTCAAAATGGAGTCTATTTCAATTCACAACTACCTCTTTATAAATTTTCCAACAATCCCCCACATGAATGAAATTGATAGAGAGAAAATGCAACAACATGATGTAAATACAGAGAGTACAGAAATTGGAAATATTCTGCAAAGGATAGGTAGCTTTTGGCTTTGAACCTTCCCTTGTGAGATACTATCGGATTTACTAGCTAACCAGTGAACATGATGTCTTGAACTGTTCAGCCATTTGTGTAAACCAAGACAATAGAACTCACACAGTATATCTCCAGACACAGTTTAATTCTCACTATTGTGTTCATTTTAGCCCTGAACAACCTGGTCTTCATGGGTGCTCTAAAGACTTGTAGCCCTTCACAAATCTTATAGAACCGGCCCAGTTCACGCTCATATAGGTGATTCTTATGAAGAGTATCCTGCCATACTCCACTAGGTATACCTATATATAAGAATTATTAAAAGTATTACTTAACCTAAAACGCTGCAGACATCAATATTTCATCATAGAAATGGGTAGGAGTTAGACTCCCCAGTGATCCTTCTGAGTCATTCACAACTCGGTTGTCCCTT